GTGGTTATGATTCCTTTTCAATTTAATGAATATGTCATAATAAAACGATATTACATCCTTTTCAACTTAAAAATTCTCCATTTTGCTTATTAATGTTAAAGAATTATTAAAAATTATAATTTTTAATTCGTTAAATAATAGTAAAATATAAAATATATTTTATTATAGATGTATTTTAGTCGTACCCGTATCATGCTTTTTAAATTTTTTCGTATCGCCGTATCCATATTGTATCATACCTGTGTCACATATCCGTATTCGTATCTGTATTCGTATCCGTATCTATATCCGTATTTCCTAGCCAACGAGTAATGCTAGGCAAGGGTTTCAACTGTGAGATGTTAGATAAGTCTGTCTTATTTTATTGGGGGCCCTAGGAAAGGGTTTCAACTGCCTTGTCTTTGGGTCAGCACCGGACATATCAAATAGATATGATACATATTATTTGAACATAATTTATTGACATAATACATCATAACTATTAAATTGCTAACGGGTCTTAATTAATAATAGAATTCATTGTCAAACCAATGACAATGACTTACTAAGTTATCAAATTATATTAGTAAATTAGGTTCAAGTAGCTTACTTACCACTTTCTCGATACATATACTTTTGGTATGAAAATATATATGTCGAGCAATAGATGAATACAGATCTTGTTGGGATATTATCTTAGTATTATTACTAGATGAAAAAAAATTGTATTTTGCATTGACGTTGTCTTTTTGAATCCATATAAAGGAATTGTATTGGAAGTCTTGGCTCAAGATATTTACTTCCTTTGCAATTCTTTTATTAAGAGCCAGGTTGATTTGCTTGTCTTGCTTTGTTACATTGGGTTATACCTAATGAACCACCAATTGAACACCAAATTCGTCTAATTTTCTTAAATCTCAAAAATCAAGTAATAACACTGACAATGACACTCCATTACGCATACGTAGAAAAAGTAATTGAAATTTATTTACACATTATCAATATCTAATTCAATCGCCACAACACGATTACCAAGCCAACAAACAATATCAATTATCAAATCAAATTCAAAATAATTAAGAACCATTTGAAACAAATAGAGGAGGGAACCAATGAGAGACATTATGACGACATTATTATTATTGATATATCATCACCAAATGCCATTGCCCTGTCTCTTAAGACAACATTTTAATCATATTTGCAACCACAATAATTGAATTAATGTTTGGTAACGATTTTTTTTCCAAAATAGTTCTTTGAAAATAGCAATTGTTTAATAAATTAATATACTAAACTACATAATCTATTGCATTTTAACACTACTCATAATGATGACATTGCACCTTCACTCGGATTGATAACATTTAGAGGTTGATTACATTGGATTGGTCATAGGATAATACTCCACTAAATGAGATTATAAACCTTGAAATCAATAAAAACTAAACGCATCTCATAAAAATTCAGAAGCACCAAGGCAATAAGCAAGAATATACACAACAAATTGAGTGAAAAACTAAAATCAGTTATTCATAAGAAGGACATACAGGTCACATATGACAATGCGACCGCAAAAAAATGAACTTATTAGTAAAACTTATGTGATTACAACAAAAAAAAAAAGGATAACTTGGTATGGGCAGTGGATTAGGGATGTTGAAAAGTGGAGAAACCAACATCATTGGCCGTGGGGAACTATAAAGCACAACCAAACATTCACAACCAAATCTGCTTTAATGTATAAATATAATGAATAAAAAACATGAGGCCAATTAAGGTGAAGATTTCCATCGAGGCTAATAATTATAGATTTTTATACAATAGTGATTTATTTTTTATATGAATAATAACTTGATGATTTTATTTATGAATTATAAAGACAATTTAACCTTCATTGATTCATAAAAAATAAAAAGTAAACATTAATCATCGGTACAAAGATGCGTGATAAGAACATCTACTTATAGTGTACTCTATGTATGAATCAGTTTATAATAAGAATGATAAAAAATTATATAATAAGTATATAATGATTTTTAATGAAATATTATATCAAAGGTTTTGAAAAAATCGATATATTAAATAATTTACATATCCAAAAATGATGAAATTGTTCATTTGGGTACTGATTTTTGTGTCGTAGTAACAGTGTGTATATGGTTACTGGGGTCAAATGCTGAACTGTCAAACTTTGAAAAGGAAGCACTAAACTTAGAGATATTATGTATTTTATGTGTGTTTAATAGAAATATTTTTAATTTTATGCAAAATTTTATCGTTAAATAGAAATTAAACAAAATCAACCTAAATCAAGGTACAAACAATACATTTTTAATATATAACATTTAAATTATTTAATTTAAAATGAATTCAATCTGAGTTATTATTGTGTTTTTTCAAATTTAAAATAGAGACGTATGAAAGATAGGAGTGTAGAGTCTTACGATAAGAGGCTTATTCATGGGCTAGAAAAGAAATTTAGGATTAACTATAGACCATTAGATCAAAATTTTTGGGATAATCTGAACTGTCTTTTATCTTGGAATTACGTTGTCCGTTGGATGTGTTTATGTTTTTTCTCAAAACGATCTGGACCTCTTTTTGTCTTTTGGATTCAAACTTCGTTCTACTTTATTATATAGATATAGATATACATATATAGATTATGACTATTTTATCTCACACAAAAAAAATAATAATATTGAAAATTAACATTTGAGAAAATAAAATAAAAAATAATAATATTTAATATTAACATTTTAAAAAAATAAAACAAAAATTGTAATATTCAATATTAGCTCAATAAAAAATATAGTAACATTGAATATTGAACAAAATTAGGGGTCAAACTAGCGACATGTTGAGCATGTTGCTCATTTGTTTTTTGCAATTGATAATGCATACAACTGTTTTTCTTTTTCTGTTTTTTCGTCATACTCTATGCAAGAATATAAACCCAAGAAAAATGGATAAAAAAAATCAGAAGAGGAAAAAACTCAAAATGACGTTCCTTGTATTGAAGGAATACATATCCAACACTTACTAGAAAAAAACTCAAACTCATTACATAAAAAGCACACACCAGTACTTGCTTGTAGATCCTTTTTCCTATGATCGATCCGGTCATTAATGCCATGGGCATGGTCACTGATAATGATGACTGACGTATTTTCATGGGTTTTAACGTAGATGTTATCATCCTTTTTTTTAACTATCTTAAAGTTCATTGTCACATGAGATGGAGAAGGACAAAGATAAACCGTCAGATTTGGGTTCCCCGATAGTGGCGATGGAGTCGAGGTAGCGGTTTTGAGAGGTTAGGTTTCTAAGAACAAATGAGTTTATTGATTTTATTCTCATTATTGTCAATAGCCATAATTGATCACTCAGGAGAGAGAGAGAGAGAGAGAGAGAGAGAGAGAGAGAGAGAGAGAGAGAGAGAGAGAGAGAGAGAGAGAGAGAGAGAGAGAGAGAGTATCCGGTTTGGGGGAAGTATGAATTTAAATTTTATGACAAAAAATTTACCGATAGATTTCTATTGAACTTGAATCAAATGATAACTGTTTAAGAAAGTGATTTAATGTTGAATACTGCTATCAATATCATAGAAAGGTCATTTTGGAGATATTAAAAAATTTGGACTTAAGGAGCATTTAACCTGAATTTTTACTTCTATTTTCATTAATTTCTAATAAAGTGAAAATTATTGAAAAAAACATAATTATTTCCCAAGGAATTTCATACGATAAAATAAAATAAATATTGTAATTCAAAAGTTTAAATCAATATGTAGCCGTTTTATAGAAATCTAAAATTTCAAGGCCAACATTTTTTTCTCAATTTATATCATTTTACACCCCGAAAGATAATTCGAATCTCAATTTGCACCCTCAAAGAGTAAAAATCTCAATTTACACCCTCAAAGATAGAAATTTGTATCAATGTGCACCCCCAAAGATCAAAAATCTCAATTTATACCCTCAAAGATAGCAATTTGTATCAATGTGCACCCCCAAAGATAAAAAATCTCAATTTGCACCCTCAAAGATAAAAATTTATATCAATGTGCATCCCAAAGATAAAAAATCTCAATTTGCACTCTCAAATATAGAAATTTGTATCATTATGCACCTAAAACTAAATTGATAAATTATAGCTAAATCCTCTCATGTTTGTCATTTTATCATTTGGACCTCTTTACATTTAAAATATTACTCCTACATCTCATGACATTTATGCACGTACAACATGTAACTCATTTTCATTGATATCTGTTAATATAACAGTTAAAAAATATAATTTTATCCTAATAAAAAATTATAATTTCATATTACCCTTATTTTATGGGTCCAATATACTCTAAAGTTCAAAATCAAGCTTACCATTTGAATGTATAATAAAATGTAGATATTTATATAATGTTTTTCATATTTTCCTTTTTATAAATATCTACATTCTATTAGATATTCAAATGGTAAGCTTGATTTTGAACTTTAGAGTATATCGAATCCACAAAATAAAGGGTAATATGAAATTATAATTTTTTATTAGGATAAAATCATATTTTTTAACGATTATATTAATAGATATCAACGAAAAGTAGTTATGTTTACACAAGTACAAACGTCATGAGAGGTAGGGGTAATATTCTAAATGTGAAAGGGTTCAAATGATTAAGTGACAAACATGAGGGGATCTAGGTATAATTTATCAATTTAGTTTTAGGTGCACATTAATACAGATTTCTATCTTTGAGGGTGCAAATTGAGATTTTTGATCTTTGGGGATGTACATTGATACAAATTTCTATCTTTGAGGGTGCAAATTAAGATTTTTGATCTTTGAGGGTGTACATTGATACAATTTTCTATCTTTGAGGGTGCAAATTGAGATTTTTAATTTTTGGGGGTGTCAATTGAGATTCGAACGATCTTTCGGGGTGCAAAATGAGATTAACCCAAATATTTATTTGCAACGGTTATACTATGTCATTATGTTGAAATTGTGTAACCGTATGATGATAAGATAATTAATAGGCAATGACCATCTCAAATCTATCACAATTTACTGATCGACAGTGAACTTTGCCTTATTTTAAGGAACATGCAATTTGAGATACAATTTCAATTTAAGGGAAAAAACTTCACACTTGAAAACCAATGCAATCTAATTGGTGGTACTACAACGTAAGTGACAAACTATTAAAGAAATCTTGTAGGGCTTCAACAACGTGGCATGTCTGGGGGTGGGGGCAAAATTTTGGCATCTGGATGGTTGCCATTTGTCACGATGAATGTCATCCCCATCCCCCAACTTACGTGGCGCTCGAAATGACAATGCATAAACCAGACTCCTGTAGAAAACAAAAGGAAAAATAAATATCAAACACACTCCATATAGTCATACCAAGTAATATAACAACGAGTTAATTACGCTTTAGTCCTCAACTATGTGTTATGTCTCACATTGCTCCCTATTTTTTTGGAACTAACACATTGCCTCTCAACTATATATTTCTTACATTTGTGCATTTAGTTTTAGTTATTACCTTTATGTACGTTGTCTCAATTTCAAAAGTATGTTACACATCAGATGAAAATGGCGCTATTTTGTTTTTTGAATATGTGATTTTATTTCACCTCGTTCGAAAATTCAGTAACACATGAATTTTTTTCTTTTTTGTATAAAATATAACAGACAATTGGTTTTGTGATAGTTGATAACAGTTCAAGTAGAATGAATGAAGGGAGTTTGGGTAATAATTAAAGGATGTATAGTTTGATTTTCCCTGAATAATCTTACTATTAATAAAGAGACATGAGGAGTTTTGTGTTCTATCCCTTTATTAGTAATTACACTGTAGGTTATCACTATGTGTGTCTTTATAGTTAAGTTTTCAAATAAAACCATTCACTCTCCCATAACTCTCAGTCTCTTACATCTCTTTTCGTCTTATTTCTCTCTCACAAACACCCATGACCGACACGTCTCCAAAAATATTTTATCTATGCGTTACACAAGCATTAAATGGAAGATGCATTATGTGGGTCACGAAAACTAATAAAAGTATTAATATAGACAGATAATAAGAAAAAGAATATTGCAATATACCAGGGTTGTCGGCCTTGAATCTGATAGCAGCCCATCCGTTCTTAGGTACAGCAAAGGTGTTCTGTAGAGGAGGGTCCACAAGATTATAATTTTTGGGGTCCTTGTCTTTGTCGAAGTTTCCAATTCCCCACCCAACAACGTAAAAACTATATCCATGCAAATGCATAGGATGATCAACCCCAGCCACCAAATTTGTTCCCTGGAAAACAAGCTCCACCGTGGAATTGTACTGGATCATTCTCACTTCAGTAGCTCTCCTCGGCGTCCGGAGTTGCACTGGAAGAGAAGCCGCCGTATAATTGAAAGCCAAAGGTGGAAATTTAGGAAAATCAGTTCCATATATACCATTAATTTGCCTATAGTAAGCTTCAAGAATGTCGATTGGCGTAGTTTGTAAGGTTATGTTGTTCACACTGGCTGATAATCGGTTACCACCTGGTCCCTCACAAGTATTGTTACTAGCACATGGCAAAGTGTTGATTGAAAGTGTGAAAAATAGGTTAGTGCTTATTTTTAATGGGACATTAACTGGATGATCTTTGCTAGCTAAACTTCTCAGGCTACCGGCGAAACTTGTCAAGGCGCTGGTGTCGTTGAAGGCCGGAAGTTGAGGTAAGGGTGGGGGTGAAGATGGTCTGTAGTTTCCTTCATATTGGATAATGGCTGTGGTGGTGGTGGTGTCGAAAGGAACAGCTGGGGCACTGTTGTAAGCCCTAGCAGCCATATAATAGTGGTTAGGTTTCTGGTTAGCTTCTAACAAGAAATCAATGGTTTGTCCGGGCGATATCGCGATATAACTGGTTTTCAATGGCTTGGTGTAGCTACCGTCTGTTCCGACGACGGTGATCTGGTGGTTGGCCACGGAGAAGAAGAGAATATTGTTCATAACAGTGTTGATCATTCGAAGCAAATAGATCTTGCCATACTCCACAGTTAGCTTAAATGTATCTGCAAATGTAAGTAGCAAAGTCATTGATAGTTCAAATTGATTAAGAAAATATACCAATTATAAGAAAATAGGATGATGAAAAGATAACATTACGAGGATCGTTCCGAACTATGCGCTCCATCTCATTTTAGTTTCTAATGTTACATTAGTCCTTAATGTATTCAATCTAATTATAAGCGACCCCCTTATAACGTCGTCCAAATGTTTAACATTTTTTGCTCATTTGGTACTCATGTGCTTTCAAAGAGAGGACATGGTGGACAAATCATACAGAATCTTAAAGATTATCATTCCGGTTTTAGGAACATATTTTGCTCCCTCTCTATCTGCCACGCCCACTGGGGCTGTTATGGTGCTTCTGGTTTGCAGCTGTTCTGAATCTGAACAGTATTTTCTGTTGATTAGCAATGTTCTCTTTGTTTGCAATTCTGTGGGTGATACCTTACCTAGGTTGTCTTTTACAGAATTGTGTTTACCAAGAAATTTTTTGGTCTTTGAGTCCGATGCGAATTCACTGTACTTTTTGTGGGTGATTACCCTATATATTTGGTTTCATTAATACATTTTACTTTCCGAAAAAACATATTTTGCTCGTCTGGATGTTTTCACAGTTTTTTAATTTTAATTTTTATTATTGGGGCCAAACAATTGACTTTGGCTATGGCATTAACATGACCTTGAAACAACCCAAAAGGAGAAGTTTTGGTGCCCTTATATTCTACACAAGGAGAAGTCAGCCATAATACTAACAAAAGTTGCTTAACTAATCACGTAATCTAAGAGAGTAATGCCACTCTTCAAATTTAAAGGCAAAATAAGGTGGTGTTGTTCGATTAGCAGTGAATTCAACTTTACTAGACGAGATTTTTCGTTGATACATGAAAATAGTTAGTCCAAGTAACACTGTTGGAATTAGTAATGTCACCAAAATTTTTTTTTTTTTTTTTGTGGAAAAAACTATGAGCTTAACAAAGAAACAGAAAGAAAATAATGAATGCTGAAACGACTAATTAGTTAAATAAAACCTATATTAGGGAGAGAAGTGAAATAAGTTGAAACCTGGTCTTGAACATGAATAGAGATCTCCGGGTTGACCATTTATAAGGAAAGCATCAGAGTTATTTGGGTCTCTCCCATTCTCCATGAATTCTTCCATAACCTCTTGTATATCACTCTTCCACCACTCTCCTGCATTCCAACATAATTAGACATTTGATAATTAGATATTCTTGCTATAATAGTCATGTAAGACACTATTTTTAGTATCATATAATTAAAAATTACGATTCGATTGGTTCAACTAATAACTTAATAAATGAGGTTGATTAGGCTCAATCCTGATCACAAAAACTTGGGATTGATCCTAAAATTTCGGATCAAAGAGGATCTATACGCAGAAAGATTTTTATACCTAATATGAGGGGCACTTCTGCTTGAGGCTTAGGGAAAGGATAAGTGGTTCCATTCTTTGGATAGATGATGATAGCACCATGAACCGTAGCTCGTGACCATTCGCTGTGAGCATGCCACCATAGAGTTCCTTCTTCATCAGAAAGCACAATCTTTTGGCTAAACTTTCCTCCTGGTTTAATAGGGCACTGCGTGATAAACTCTGGTCCATCTGACCAAGGATACCTTGGCATTTTCACTCCATGCCTGCAAAACCAATTCCATTATTTTTCCAAACTACGAATTTTCCACCAATTCTTTGTACCCGTTGTCTCTGTGTGTTTTGAGTTATATAGTATACTAGGGTTGTCTAATGCACGACAAGTGTGTCTTTTTTTTTTTTTTTTACTGTGATTAAAATATTGATATATAGATATATTGTAGTTAAAATATTTGTATATAGATATATTATTGTTAAAAAGCTAAAATTTAATGAATATAACAGATAAATTTATTGTTTTAAAAGTTTAAAATATAAATCGTAAGATAGTCATGTATCAAAAACAATATGGACCATCGTTGTGTTATGTGTTGACTGTTGAGGAGCTTCTTCTTTTATCATACGTGTTTTTTTCCGGGAATCAAAGTTAGTTACTTATTGGAAAGGGAGAGAGAGAAGAGCTCGTACCAATGGATAGTGATATTTTGGTTGCCTTTGTTTTGAACATCAACAATGATTGTATCTCCTGTCTGAGCATAGAGAGTTGGTCCGGGGAATTGTCCATTTACTGTCAAGATGTTCTTGGTGCTGCAGAGTCTTGTGTAAGGAGCTTCTTTCACCTGTGAATAAAACCTTTAAATTTTGAAAAAAGCATGAGGGTATAGCATATATAATCTTGGACTATTTAAGCTCATATAACATAATAAGTGGGATTTTCTAAACTTTATGCGATTTCTGACCTCCCTCATTCCCTAGATCCATCATTGCATATGCGTTCGAGGATTACAGGTAAGAGGTGCACACTACACTAATTTTAATTTGGTCAGTAATTAGATAAAAAAAATTGATGGAATCCGTATTTGATGTAACGCGAAACAAGAGACCTTCATGGAGCTTTTGGTTCCACCACACCAAATCTTGCAGACCCTTATGTCTGATACTAGTGTAGCTTCTGTAAAAGCGTGTCCATGACCTGTTTAACTTTCGAAGGCACCGAAAAAAAAATATATATATATAACGCGAAAGCTTATATGAATGAGATTATCATTGTACTCACCACGAAGGTATGACGAATTATAGAAGCTTCAGAATGGATGAAGCCTTCAAATAATAGAAACCCTAAAAACTGCAAGATCAAAAATTTCATGACCATCGACCCCATTTTCAAGCAATTGAACTATTTTTTGTAAGCTTGTCTTTCTGATAGCTACATGAGCGTCAAAGCTATTTATTGAGGTTTGGGAGAAAAGAAGGTAATGTTCTGTACTTGTCATGGAAAACATTAACCCGTTTCTTATTTGAAGTGAATTCTTCGTATGCTCCAGAGACATCAAGTCTTATCTTTTTTCTTCTGTGATGGTTATAATTTTCTTTTACTTTGATTTTGACCATTTCTTACAGCTACAATAATGTCATGGAAAACATTAAAACGATTCTTATTTGATTTTCCTAGTGCCTATTGGGTTGAAAGGAAGTACTTCTCTCATATCCTTCGCCTTAGCGTACAGTCATTTCTTCAGGATCCGTGTGGTAACAACCAATCAAAAAGGGTACTGGGAAGGGTAAGAACTAAGAATTGAGGAAGCACCACATACAGTCGAATGACACTTTGTCTCCCAACATTTTCAATAAAAATTTACTCTGCCTTTTAAAAATTTTAACTAGTCGTTTGTGTTTTCTATCCGTAGGATATGTTCTGAGTAGATGGAATAATAAATGATGTGTTGTTTTTAGAAACATTGTTATTGAGGAGAGAAAGTGAACCGCTAGTAAGGGTTCATTTTCACTCGCAGGTGGGTGTGAGTTTCAACATCATTTCCTCCCTCTTCCCCACCCAAAAAAATAAAAGGGATACATTGTTAATATTTAAAGAAATTCGGGATATGATAAAAAAATTCTAGAGGATAAAATTAATATTTTAGAACTTTTCGAGAGCAAAGTGTAATTCAACCCATAAATCTCCCCTAATTGCCATCCTTGTCAGAAAACATGTGCATGTTTCAGACGGAAAAGGCACCATCAACATCATCCAGCTATCATACGAAGAAAAAACAAATTTATTTAAGGTTTATCATATTCATATTCATAAGTCACTTTATCATACGAAGAAAAAACAAATTTCTCACATAAAAACAACTGTCATGCTTGGAAGATTGAAATGTTTGCCATTATTAAAAGATTAAAGTCTAATCGTAAGACAAATAGTTAGATCTAAATAATCTGAATTACTGTTACATTTTGTTTAGTTATAGATTTCAACAACCATATAAATATTAATTCAATGTATAATCATACCTCAATAGTCAAATTATGAGTAATGCGGTGTAAATAAATTTCACTAACCATAAATGAGAGGTGAGTCTTAGAAACGAAAATTGTGTCATTTTACGTCATGATTAGAATATGTCATTGTTAATTTCATAATAAGTCCTAGCCAATGCAAACCCAACTTATTTAATTTATTATATTATATGATCTAGCACTAACTTGACCAATCTATTAATAAATACATGTTCTGGTTGACATACAGCTCGTAAACCAAAAATTTATGATTAAAATCTCCTCTCTTAATCAAACCAACCACTCATCGACTTTGTATTAACTAAAAACCCACTTGGTTCCAATGCTAACAAATTTAAGTAAAATTCTATAATTATACCATCATTCAATTAGTACCAAATTGAAAATTTGAAAGTTTGTCATGTTATTCCAGTTAAATACGTTTTTTTTTTGTTGGGTAATTTGTGTTTAATACTAACCCAACATGTTTGTAATTTTGTTAGTAGGGTTATATTATTTTTTTTTAAGTTCGCATAAAAAATTAATTAGTTCTCATAACAAATTAATTAGTTCTTACTCTCTAATTTTTTTGGTTAAAGTTAACAACCCTTAATGAATCTTAATATTAATTAGGGTATAGTGCCATTCTACAACACCAGTGAATTTAGTTCAGTAAATCTGATACAAATATGACTAAAAATTATTTAAAATAAATATAAACATGGGTTACTGATATCTAGATATTGTTGCTTTAACCATTCAAACTTATTTGGATGTTGGGGAAGAAATTTCAACTCTTGGGAGCCAGCTCTTTCTGCAGGTGCACCTTTTTTATTTTTTGCATTGGGACAGAGTAAAATCCGTGGAATATCCACTTTCGTGAAGGGTTTTGTTGGGAGTGAGAGAATGAAAGAAGGATGAACTTTTCATTCTTTGAGAGCGAGAATTTTGAAAATCCATAGTTTTGCTCTTAACAAAATGAGATTTATGTTTAGACTAATGATATTTGAACTTAAAAATATGATTTAATTTACTGACATAATGATTTGTCTTCGTTGAAAATATTTAATTAATAATAAGTTTCAATATTTGATGGAGCTCGCCATTAATTTAAATATTATAGTAAATTAGGTAAGTAAATTAGATTTCAATTGTATTACTCTTAATTGGGCCCAACTTTTTCACGTTCAAAGTCTAATGGGGGTGGGGGATTCAAGTGTAGGTTGTGCAATTAATGAGCAATGTTACATGCACTTAAAAACTAGACTTAAAAATTAAACTTGATAATCTCAACCATTGAATATGTAGTGAGTCCCAATAAATGTTGGACCTACAGTGAAATCAATGATTGAGATTATAAAGTCTAATTTTTAAGTTTACGTTTAAGTCCATGTAACATTGCTCGCAATTTATTCCATGCAGAACTTTACTGGACTGCAGTGTCCTTTCTAACCACCCTTTGAGCATTATTATAACAAATTAAATTGTTCATCATAATTTAATCGATATAGGGTACCATAAATTCAGTAGGTGGGAATAGGCCATGGGAGCCTCAGGCAAGAATTTGTGATTGAAGTCGATGGTATTGTTCGCTTGGGTTTGTTTGGTTTATTGGGCTGGGTAGGTAGTCGGTGTAGTGGGGCAATGACGGTGGCCAAGTGAAGCAGGCTTGGTCGATTTATGGTAGAGAGATGCGCATATTCAAATGAACTCTGCAATTTCGTTGTATTGAAAAGTCGCCCATAGCTCCTATCTAGGTGTCATTCTCATATTTACCTGTCTACTTTGTCTGTTCCCATAATGCATTATTCTTGTTAGCCTAAGCGATTGAGACGTCTTTTCGGATTGATCAGGCCACAACGAGTTTGAATCGACCTTTAATTGCTAGGGTACTGGTTGAGTGTGATGTCACATGGTGGCAGTTGCCGAGAATTAGGATAGGCAGACAAGAGACTGAATTTTGGCAGGATGTGCTTTACGAGGATGTACAATAGTATTGTCCTAGGGTGTCGACATTTAGGTCATTCAGTGGAGACCTGCATCACCCACTCCATCTCCCTTTTTTTTATTATTATTATTGTCATCGTACCATTTGAGGGTAACGGTTGTTCTAATAGCCACTGCCTTCGCTATTGGATATTAAGGTTGTAGATTTGTCTCATTTCTATATAATAATGCCCGGCAAAAAAAATATATCATTTGAAAAGTTAAATAAAAAATTATGAAAAATTAGGCTGATAAAATAATTATAAAAAATTAAGGTGGTAAATTATATTTAAAAAAAATTAAATTAGTGATTGATTGTTTAAAAAACTTTAAATGAGTAATAGTTAATTAGTGAGGTAAAGGGGAAATTACTTGAGACATGCCTTAGAATATAATTGATTAAAACTATGTGTGATAATTAAATAATTAAAAATTCTAAAATCAAAGAAAAGTGAGAGGGATAGCTTCCCTAGCCACCTCCCACTTAATTTGATTGCTTTATATATATAAAAAAAATTTAATTTATTTTTTTAATTTTTTAACGGTAGATTTATCACCATGTTTGAATGAGAGATCCTCTTGTAAATAGTAAATAACATTTGAATTCTTTGTAATCAAGTTATTATTGAGAAAAAATGAATAGAAACTATATTTAACAATTGCATCTTAATGGGCAAATTATCACCACCTTATGCCACATATATAGTAATATATTATAATAATGAATATAGTTGCTTTCTATTTTCTTTAATATCTAATAAAGTGAGAATTAGTCAATAAACATACTTGTAAGCCGAGGAATTTCATACGATAATTCAAAATTTAAAAACTTTATAAAAGCAATATATAGTCATTTTATAGAAATCTAAAGTTTCAAGGCTAACATCCTTTCTCTCAATTCAATAGTATATCATCCACTAGGTACTAACGATAGAACCACTTATATTTGAGTTATGGTAGGTGATTTATCATTATAAAAATAGATGAAAAAAATTAGTGAATGGGATTCAAATAAAAAAATTGAATGTATCTCAAAATTTGAATGGGCATATCCAAATCTCCCATACCTAACATGTCTGTCCTTTTTTCTCATATCTAAATCTCTCATACCTAACATGTCTATCCTTTTTTCTCACTCCTACAAAACTTGTTTGAATAATATTTTATAACCACTAATTTTTGAATGTGTGGGGTTATCTCCACCCCATTAAAATTTGTATTATCAAACTACTAAGTACATCTCTTCTATACTCACTTTATGTTATACCACATATATAGTAATATATTATAATAATGAATATAGTTGCTTTCTATTTTCTTTAATATCTAATAAAGTAAGAATTAGTCAGTAAACATACTTATAAGTCGAGGAATTGCATATTATAATTCAAAATTTTAAAAACTTTATAAAAGCAATATGTAGTCGTGTTATAGAAATCTAAATTTTCAAGACTAACATCCTTACTCTCAATTCAATAGTATATCATACATTGTGTACTAACGAGAGAATCAGTGTTATCCGAACCGTTTGGACTTTGAATCGGGACCTAGACCGATCCAGTTCTTGAGTTGGACCACTTAGACAATTAAATCGCCTGTTAACTGTTAAACCTGCCGATTTTGCTTTAAACTTGTGAAGCGGGCGAATTCTTCAAACTGGGCTGTTCGAATTTTAAGGAATAAAAAAAAAATCAATTTTTTAGGACAATTTTGCCCCAAATCGACTTCTATCAAACCCTCAGTGGGCAGTTCGTCACCTTCTCCATATGCAGTGCAGAGGCAGCAGACGCTGAGGCCCTCTTCAGGTTTTGCTCTTAGACTTCGAGTTTTCACTAGACGCTCACAAAGGTAGAAGCAATATCCTCCAAAGCTCAGCGGCAGTCTGTCTCCCTCCGCCTTCTATGACAGTCTTCTTCTTATTCCTCTCTCTCTATTCTCCTCTATCTCAATCTCAATCTCTGCCCCTCTCTCTCTCTCTTTCTCACACACACGCAACAAAATCTTGAGTCAAGAGTCTTGACTGAAAGAGCTCAAAAAAATAAAAATAAAATCCTAGCTGAACACACACACTTAAGAATACTATAATATTAAAAAAACATAGTATAATTGCCTTGAAAAAGCACACATTAAACAAACACTTATCTCGAAAAGGCCATTGCCTTGAGAAGGCAAAAAAGCATAAACAAGTTGTTGGTTATTTTTTTTTCATACAATTTTGTATTTAGGGTGTTAATTTTATGGTAAATTGTATATATTGTGGACAAGTTTTATATTTTTTTAATTTTATATTATATAACCAGTTCGACTAGTTGACCCAACAGTTAAACTAGCGATTTATTGATATAAGAATTTATTGATCAAAAGCATATTTTGCCTTGCGGCTTACAACTTTATTTCAAGGGGCATGCAAATGTTTTATTTATTTCTAAGACACATAACCAATTAATAAAAATATTTAATGCAATATAAATAGTAATCTTGTAGAGCTTCAACATGGTGGCATGTCTGGAGGTGGGGGCAACATTTTGGCATTTGGGTGTTTCCCATTTTTCACTATGAATGCCATCTCCATCCCCCAACTTATGTGGCGTTCTAAATGGCAGTGCATTAACCACACTCCTGCAAAAAATAAATAAACACATTCAACACCAATACTAGTAATATAACAAAGAAAATAGCATCCAAATATGATTATTAATTTTACACTACTTCAAGTAGAATAGGCCATAATTTTAGGGTGTGAGGTGTAATTTTAGCTAATAATAACAATAATAAATGTGAATAGCAAGAAGAATGCAATGTACCAGGGTTGTTTGCCTTGAATCTGATAGCAACACAGCCGTTCTTTGGGACTGCAATGGTATTCTGTAGAGGAGGGTCAACAAGATTATACTTCAAAGGGTCCTTCATTTTGTCAAAATTTCCAAATCCCCACCCAACAACATAGAAACTATATCCATGCAAATGCATGGGATGATCAATCCCAGCCAACAAATTGGTTCCCTGGAAAACAAGCTCCACCGTGGAATTATATTCAAGCACTCTCACTTTTGTTGCGTTCGTTGACCTCTGGTATTCCACCGGAATAGTTTGGTTCGTGTAATCGAATGCCAATGGAGGAAATTTAGGAAAATCTTCTCCAAAAACACCATTATTGCCCCTGTAATAAGCTTCAAGAATGTCAATTCTTGGGTTTTCGAAGGTTATGTTGTTCACACTGGCCGCGAATCGTTGATCATTTGGACCCTCACAAGATGTATTACGATCACATGGTTCTGTATTAATCGAGACTGTAAAAAATAACTTAGTGCTGATTTTCAGTGGTACATGGACTGGATGGTCTTTGCTGGCTAAACTTCTCAGGCTGCCGGCGAAATTCGTCGAGGCTTTCGTGTCGTTGAAGGCTGGAAGATGAGGGAAAGGTGAGGGTGAAGATGGAGTGTAGTTTCCACTATACTGAATAATGGCTGTGGTGGTGGTGTTGTCGTAACTAACCGCGCTGGCACTGTTGTAGGCCTTAGCAGCCATGTAATAGTGATCTGGTTGTTGGTTGGCCTCTAACAAGAAATCAATGGTTTGCCCGGGCGATATCGCGAGATAGTCACTTTTCAACGGCTTGGTGTAGCCACCGTCTGTTCCGACAACAGTGATCTTGTGTTGGGCGATGGCGAAGAAGAGAATGTTGTTCATGACACTGTTGATCATTCGGAACAAATAGGTCTTGCCATGATCCACTGTCAAATTGAATGTACCTGCAGATATAGTGATGACAAGTCATTGGTAGTTCAACATGATTAATCAATTCCAAAATTAGTCACTGAATGTCATGAATGCTAAGTTGTGGATTAAATTCACCCTCTTCAATGTAAATATGTATTGGCAAGACATGATTTTATTACAAAAACCTCTAATAGTGTGGGTCAAACATACATTTTTATGCAAAATATTGATAGATTGAGAAAAGAGTAATAAACGGTAATTTGGGGAGGAAAAAGGCCCAAAATGATGCACAGAATATGCCAAATATAGGAAACTACCATGACAAGGATATATCAATAACCCAATTAATGACTTCTTTTGCAAGTAGATTCTTTTTTTTTTTTTCTGGACTTGTTGTGCAACTTGATTGGCATGAAGAATTTTGTATTCAAGATCTGAACTAAAAAAACCTGAAAATTTTAATTCTATCATATTATTGATGTCAAATTGGCTAACTAGTGTGCAAAACTGGTACTCATCAAATTTGTAAGAGAAAAAAGATGAATAAAATTGAAACCTTGTTTTGAGCATGGGTATAGATCACCAGGTTGACCATTTATAAGGAAAGCATCAGAGACATTTGGATCTCCTCCAGTCTGAAGGAATTCCGTAAGAACCGCTTGTACATCACTCTTCCACCACTCTCCTGCATTAATTTCAACATATTAAACATTTGACTATTAGGTAGTCTGTCTTTAACAGTTTTATAACATATTCTTCTAGTTGTCATATATGTTATCACGATTCAATTGTGTCAAGTAGTGACTCAATGAGATCGATTAAGCTCAATCCCAATTTGTAGGATCAATCCCAATATTTCCAATCAGAAGTTATCAATATGTAGCAAGAGTTTTATACCTAATATAACGGGCACTTCTGCATGAGGCTTAGGAAAGGGATAAGTGGTTCCATTCTGTGGATAGACAAAGATAGCGCCATGAACTGTAGCTCGCGACCAATCGCTGTGTGCATGCCACCATATAGTTCCTTCCTCATCACTAAGCAAAATCTTTTGGCTAAAATTTGCACCTGGTTGAATAGGGCACTGTGTAATAAATTCAGGTCCATCTGTCCAAGGATACCTTGGCTGGTTCACTCCATGCCTGCAAAATGATTTCCATTGAATTTTTCATTGACGAGATAAGTTTGATGTAGATTTTGTCGTCTATTATTTGTGAGTGAAAGTATTCATTTATTGTTTAGAGACGAAAATATGTTGGTCGCAAAAAATGTCTTTTGATTTTTAACGCCAAATACTATGTCGTCGCCAAAGAGAGAAAATATGACCACAATAAAATTTCTTTCAGCGATGAAGCCTTTTTTGCGACAATACGATGATTTTTTAAGTGACTAATTTTTTTGTCGCTAATAATCTACTTTTACGAAAATACTTTACTTGGTCACCAAAAATTTTCAGTGACGAGACTACCGCGACAAATTGGTGACCAATCTTTTTCGTTGCAGAAATCTTTTAGCGTAGAATTATTCATTTTTAGGGACAAAATTTTTTGCCGCTAAAAACTAATTTTCTTGTATTGGTAATAGAGTAACTTTATATGAATCAATGAAACATTCCACTTGTCATTTCATGGGTGGACAATAAAGAAGGTATAGTAGCGAATGATTATGTTTCTGTATTGTACTCTAATAAGATAATTATTGAAGCTTTCACACACAAATAAAATGGCTCGTACCAGTGGATGGTGATATTTTGGTTGCCTCTGTTATAAACGTCAACAAGGATTGTATCATTTTGTGTGCATATAGTGTTGGGCCAGGAAAATGTCCATTCACTGTCAAGATGTTCTTGGTGCTGCAGAGTCTTGTGTATGGAGTTTCTTGCACCTGTGAATTAAAAAGTTAATAGCAGCAGAGCTTACAGACATACATAACTTCGCGTGTTAACATATACGACGACTTCCATGCATACGTACACATACATATTTCTCTAGTACATACAAATACCAGCACAATGAATGAGTATCTATGCAAAATATTATGCTAGTACTCTTCGTGAAATATATCTGTAGATTGTGGATATTTTTTGCATTCTCGAATGACGACTGCAAATTTTTCACTTTATTTTTTAGACATTTAGCTATTAAACTAGTAACTACTCTAAAAGTTTTGGCTATTAAACAAGTGTAACTTCAATATTTATATACTTCAATATATTCTTTTACATGCAGGCTAAATTTTATGACATGCACCATGTGCAAATCTTTTTAATTATGAAAATAGCGGTGAGATTCAAACAAAAGTCTAATGCTTTAATGTCTTTTTAAACCACCAACTACGAGGTAGTAGTGACCAATGTCACGTAATTTACATATTATGTGAATTACCTATTGTGTATGTGACCAATATCACATAATTTTTACATGTATGTGAACTACCTATTGTGTATGTGCAACCTTGAGACCCTACATCTACTAATTCCATGAAGTAAACTTTGTCGACCATACATATGCAGGAGGGACATATCCAGAAACTTTTTTTTTTTTAGAAAGTAAATAAAGTCTTCATTCATGTGGAAATTCTGTGATGTACATCAAAACAAAATAACCAAATATTGGGAGTGAATCCCCATTGATGAGCAAAAGTATGGGGAATTCCTAAGAGGTATCAAGCCTAGCTGAGTACCTCATGGGAATTAGCCGTGGTCCTCTACAATTCTATGCAAAAAAAACTTGGCCATCATAGCAGGCATGAGCTGGGAAGCTGCAAGGTTAGAAGTAACTTTTCATTCTTTGGAATGTTCTTGAATTTAATAAAAAGCATTATGTCCCTAATGGTTTGGACAAATAGCTTGTAACCTGAATTTGGAGTTTTTGGATTATTGGCTATGGAGCCTTGAGTTCCTTTCTCTCCAGAAATTTTATCGGAGGGTGACCTTTAAATTTTGAAAAAGCATGAGGGTATAGCATATATAATCTTGGACTATTTAAGCTCGTATAACATAATAAGTGGGATTTTCTAAACTTTATGCGATTTTGACCTCCCTCATTCCCTAGATCCATCATTGCATATGCGTTCGAGGATTACAGGTAAGAGGTGCACACTACACTAATTTTAATTTGGTCAGTAATTAGATAAAAAAAATTGAAGGAATCCGTATTTGATGTAACGCGAAACAAGAGACCTTCATGGAGCTTTTGGTTCCACCACACCAAATCTTGCAGACCCTTATGTCTGATACTAGTGTAGCTTCTGTAAAAGCGTGTCCATGACCTGTTTAACTTTCGAAGGCACCGAAAAAAAAATATATATATATAACGCGAAAGCTTATATGAATGAGATTATCATTGTACTCACCACGAAGGTATGACGAATTATAGAAGCTTCAGAATGGATGAAGCCTTCAAATAATAGAAACCCTAAAAACTGCAAGATCAAAAATTTCATGACCATCGACCCCATTTTCAAGCAATTGAACTATTTTTTGTAAGCTTGTCTTTCTGATAGCTACATGAGCGTCAAAGCTATTTATTGAGGTTTGGGAGAAAAGAAGGTAATGTTCTGTACTTGTCATGGAAAACATTAACCCGTTTCTTATTTGAAGTGAATTCTTCGTATGCTCCAGAGACATCAAGTCTTATCTTTTTTCTTCTGTGATGGTTATAATTTTCTTTTACTTTGATTTTGACCATTTCTTACAGCTACAATAATGTCATGGAAAACATTAAAACGATTCTTATTTGATTTTCCTAGTGCCTATTGGGTTGAAAGGAAGTACTTCTCTCATATCCTTCGCCTTAGCGTACAGTCATTTCTTCAGGATCCGTGTGGTAACAACCAATCAAAAAGGGTACTGGGAAGGGTAAGAACTAAGAATTGAGGAAGCACCACATACAGTCGAATGACACTTTGTCTCCCAACATTTTCAATAAAAATTTACTCTGCCTTTTAAAAATTTTAACTAGTCGTTTGTGTTTTCTATCCGTAGGATATGTTCTGAGTAGATGGAATAATAAATGATGTGTTGTTTTTAGAAACATTGTTATTGAGGAGAGAAAGTGAACCGCTAGTAAGGGTTCATTTTCACTCGCAGGTGGGTGTGAGTTTCAACATCATTTCCTCCCTCTTCCCCACCCAAAAAAATAAAAGGGATACATTGTTAATATTTAAAGAAATTCGGGATATGATAAAAAAATTCTAGAGGATAAAATTAATATTTTAGAACTTTTCGAGAGCAAAGTGTAATTCAACCCATAAATCTCCCCTAATTGCCATCCTTGTCAGAAAACATGTGCATGTTTCAGACGGAAAAGGCACCATCAACATCATCCAGCTATCATACGAAGAAAAAACAAATTTATTTAAGGTTTATCATATTCATATTCATAAGTCACTTTATCATACGAAGAAAAAACAAATTTCTCACATAAAAACAACTGTCATGCTTGGAAGATTGAAATGTTTGCCATTATTAAAAGATTAAAGTCTAATCGTAAGACAAATAGTTAGATCTAAATAATCTGAATTACTGTTACATTTTGTTTAGTTATAGATTTCAACAACCATATAAATATTAATTCAATGTATAATCATACCTCAATAGTCAAATTATGAGTAATGCGGTGTAAATAAATTTCACTAACCATAAATGAGAGGTGAGTCTTAGAAACGAAAATTGTGTCATTTTACGTCATGATTAGAATATGTCATTGTTAATTTCATAATAAGTCCTAGCCAATGCAAACCCAACTTATTTAATTTATTATATTATATGATCTAGCACTAACTTGACCAATCTATTAATAAATACATGTTCTGGTTGACATACAGCTCGTAAACCAAAAATTTATGATTAAAATCTCATCTCTTAATCAAACCAACCACTCATCGACTTTGTATTAACTAAAAACCCACTTGGTTCCAATGCTAACAAATTTAAGTAAAATTCTATAATTATACCATCATTCAATTAGTACCAAATTGAAAATTTGAAAGTTTGTCATGTTATTCCAGTTAAATACGTTTTTTTTTGTTGGGTAATTTGTGTTTAATACTAACCCAACATGTTTATTAATTTGTTAGTAGGGTTATATTATTTTTTTTTAAGTTCGCATAAAAAATTAATTAGTTCTCATAACAAATTAATTAGTTCTTACTCTCTAATTTTTTTGGTTAAAGTTAACAACCCTTAATGAATCTTAATATTAATTAGGGTATAGTGCCATTCTACAACACCAGTGAATTTAGTTCAGTAAATCTGATACAAATATGACTAAAAAATTATTTAAAATAAATATAAACATGGTTTACTGATGTCTAGATTTTTAAATCCTACCTTTGTTACGTGTTCTATCAATTTGTCGTATGCTAGATCACCCACCATTTATTAGGAAAATATCTATTTATCTTTTGAAACACTGGAGAAATATATTGAAAGGGACCAAAATTCGAATGTTTTTCATCGTATGTATCACAATCTTATTAAGTGTTTTTTTTTCTTTCGTGTTATCCATGTTTTTAAGAGGGGTCAATGGTAGCAAGGTAATAATAAGACTCAACGTTTTCCTATAATTTCTACAACCAATCCACTACTTCCTAAGTAATGAAAAAGAAAAAGTCATAATAGCTGTAAAAGTAAAGAATGTATGACTTTTGTCCCTTTATTTTCTGTGTTCTAGAATCTCCATTTACAAATCTAATGAAACAAAAAAACAAAAAAAGTCCTTAAATTGAACCAACGGCGTTAAACGGTGCATCAATACATAGGATATTGCAAATTGAACTTTTGCTCTTTCGTTATGTCAAGTTTGCCAATTCGACAGTCTTATCCTCCGTTTGGTAGGAATAATAGAAAATAGAAAAGGTAGAAAGTAGGAGGGATACACTTTCTATCCTTCAAGGATAAAAAATATGAATGATTCAATTTTCTTCCTTTGTGTTTAGTTGGATAGATAAAAAATAAAAATAACTAATTTTTTTTTGTGATAGCTAAGATTAGAGTTGACAATCGAGTCGTGTCGTGTCAGATTCGTGTTGAATCATAAAATTATGAGCCTTTTATATTTCTTATTCGCGTGTCAGGTCATTTTCAAGTTCGTTTCGAGTTATAATCAAGTTTGTGTCGTGTTCCAGTCATGTCATCGTGTTAAGTCGAAAATTTTCA